TCTGTTCCAAATTACAGCATTCTAGAACAATTTTTGCGCGAGATATTCAGAAAAAAAGTTGTAAAGTTTTTTTTGGATCACCCTGTATATTGCAATGTTTCTTCTTCACGGTTCTAATAAGGAATATGCTGAAACATTATTTCTTCATTTTTATAATCAATGTTTTCCAACTACAATGACATAAACCCCCCCATAATTTTCTTGATTCCTCTCTAAACCCTCTTTTTGGTAATATTTTTGTGGTTGTCTTTGGTGCCTTTATACATGCACTATGGGACCGTTATTGTATCTATGGAAACACACTGTAGCTTCGCCTCAAACTAATTCTCTCAAAAGCACGAGGGAGAAAGGAATGTGAAGTCAGTACGTTTGTGTAATCAACTCAAACTTTTCCTCCCAAAAACGGAGAGTTGAAAACGTGGGGAACGTGAAGCCAGTGCGTTCCCAGCCTTACAAGTTTTTAGACTGGCGAGAGTAGTGTCAGTAATGATAGGATGATTTTTAAATTTTACCTTGTTGCTATCGGAGAACCATCTTTAACGTACGCAACTTGTCGGAATTTTTTTCTCAATTTTCCGAAAATTGTAAGGCGTTAGTCTAAATCTTTCTTACCTTTACTAAGGTCCAGGGTGTTGCTGAAAGGAAAGACATGAGAAGAGGAAACCAGGAGAACAGTAGAACGAGTAGAGGGGAGAGGAGCCCAGATGGGGTCTTGGAAGGGAAATGAGTGGAGTGAAAATATTATATGGAAATGAAAGCAGGGGGAGTAAGAAAATTATGGAAATGAAAGCAGGGGGAGTAAGAAAATTGTGGAAATGAAAGCAGGTTACACAATACTACAAGAGAACCGGAAAGGAGGAGAAAGGAAAACATTTTAGAGAAACAAATTTTCACCGTCACTGTCAGGATTCGAACCCGGGACCTATTGAATGAGAGGTACAGACTTTACCACTACACCATGAAAGACCTCGAGGTTGTCGTGATTATGAGATAAATATTATTATTACTGTCACTGTCACCAATGATCCATCAAGGGAAAGAACAGCTACATGATATGGACGTTGAGGTTATGATTGTTGTCTCCCTTAGCAGAAGTTTTTGTTGTTGTTTTTTTTGTTTTGTTTTTTGGTAAGTGTTTTACGGCGGTCGCAACTGCATTAGGTGATATGAGCTCTCGGGACACGTTAAACATTTTCAGTTGGTAGGAAATTTTAAATTTT